GGTGGTTCGAGTATTAGCAGGAAAAGTTGCTATAATGGAGCGGGAGAGGGGGACCGCCATGAAAAGCGCGACAATGAAGTTTTCCTTTGTTGGGGCTGGAAAAATTCTTGGACTTTGTTGCGCGCAATTTGCGATTCTTTTTCTTTCGCTCCGCTTTTGTGTAATATTTCAGCGGGCTTAAATGGCAGGCGATGCTCGCCATTTTTGCCATTTCTTGCAAAATAGTTGGCTCTTTGGTTTTAATATCCCGGCTAAATGTGCGTCTAATTATGCCAACAATTAAATGCGAACTTTGATAAATGAGCAGCAACTTGCAGGAGAAGCAGGAGGAGGCGGAGCAGCAACTTTATTGATGGCGGATCATCCTGGAGCTGATTAGCATTTGCATGCCAACGGCGTGCCCCTCTTAACATGCAATTCAATTAAATTTTATCTTATCTGCCGAAGAACACCGAGGCGAAAGGCAAATGAAAAAAAAGAAGAAGAGGAAGAAAAAGAAAATAGTCTACCAAGTCTTCCAAGAACAACGCACAAATTGCTGCTCCGCTTATCAGTCAATTAGCCAAGAGATAAGGCAAACAAGCGACGTGAACATAGCGCAATTCCGAGGGTAGCCAACCTGGGCTCTCGACTCTCTCATGGGGATTGACAGTAGAGCATGTCAGGGCCCGGGGCCTCGGCCGAAATGTGGGTAACAATGCCACCGCGTGCGCTTATCGAGTAGCGCTGTCAACGCATATCTTTTAATTTCAAGTGTTTTCCTGCTCAGCCCTGCCTCCCCACCCGCTTGGGCTGTAAGCCCAGGTAAAGTGCCAACATCTAACGCCCCAATTGCTCAATTGGTGTGGAACAAATGAGTAATGTAAGCCACAGTTGCTAACTGCAAATATTACTTCTGTAAGACATACACCAGCTCGAGCTCTGTTGATGGCCCTGAGACTGCAGCTCATTTAGCCGAACGGCAGCACACAAAATTGTAAATTCGATTGCGGCAATAAGATTGATGCTGAAATTCATTTCGTCTCATCTTACAGCTAACCCAATATTTGAAATGAGCCAGCTGTGTTTGTTGGCCTATTTAGCCATTCGAGAACTTAGTCGCTTAGCCGCTTAGTCGCAAACAAACAATTATAAATGGTAGCTGTGGCTCATTGAATATACGGTCTACAAACAGCAGCTTACTTCGTAATATGTTTATGTTCGCTAAATTAGAGTTTGTTTTGTAGAAATGTATGCATATTTGATTAGGGTTTATAGAATTTATGACATACTTATTAATTGGAGGCAACCTAGTATGTAAAGGCTTAAGATTATGACAGAAGAGCAAACTGCTGAGTAATTATTTCGTGATAGAGCAAATGCTAATTAAAGTCGTATGTGTAATAGTGTGAGTAAAACAAGTAAACATGAGCAACAAAAATGCGATTTATAGAACTCACAAATTATTATGTTAAAGGATATCCGAGCACCGGCAGCCAGGGCTAGGGAATGAGAAAGTATAAGTGAGATACCTGCGAGTGGGGGAAGTAAACCTTAAAATGAAACTGTGAAGCATTGGAGAGCGGGTCTCTTAAGACTATGTCAATGCTATTCTGCATACAAAAGACCAATAGCTAAACGGAGAATATAATAAACAATAAATAAATAAATAATAATTGAAGAATTTTATATAAAACTTACTCTGAAGAAACGGGATGAGATGAGATGATGGGACAACTTGATAGTGAAACGTTTTAAAATGAAATTAAAATAATAGGAAGTAAAAGGTAGAGTGAGGTATTTGCACAAAAACTAATCTTGAGTGACACGGAATAGAGAACATATATATCTTTGCTGATGGTGAAAGGAAATGCTCAGTGTTCTGTCAACACATTCTTTAAGAATTTGGCGTGAATATTTGCTTTTGGATCGTAATGTTAATTTACTGTCGCCTGTTGCCCTATCTGCGTTTCCTGTTATCTTAAGCATTAGAGTGGAAACCTTGACATAATTAGAAAAGGAAAAAAAAATGAGCTTGACAATGTTTGATGCGGCTCTCTTGTCAGTTATATAACTTATCTCTCGATAACGCAGAATTAACTTTCCATTTCAAATGGATATCATTTGTGAGCGCTAAGCAACTGAAACTGTAAACTCAATATTAAAGTTTTAATTGGAAAATAAATATATAGTACACTATGTATGTCTGTGCTTATGTGAAATGTATAACGTTTTATTTGAACTGGATTGGGCGTGCATGGCGCATACGCCACGTGGCCCAGCGAGACGTGAATTTTAATTAACAAAACCATTTAAATGAGAATCGCGAGTGCCGCAGGCAACATCAAGGACCATTTGCATGGCCAACAGCTGCAATTGGTGGCCAAAATGCCCGAATGTGCGCCTCTGTAAATCGGTATAAATTCAAAAATACAAATAAAATAGAACACGAATTCCATGGCATTGCATCCATCAATTATTGATTGCCTGATCCGAATAATTGTGGATGTGATTGCCGTTTGAAGTAGTTGGCGAAATATATTTGACCAATAGCTGCCAGTGACACGAGCTCAAATCCCCTGATTATACGCGTGAACGACTGTCAAACAAATTCGCTGCAAATCCGCCCCAGAAACACTCCACACACAAGTTGACGGCAATTGTTGCTAGTTTGCCATGTTATTCTAATGCGTATTTCAACTGTAAGCCACTCTTTGCTCCTCCTCCTCCTTCTCGCCTTGCTCGAGCCATGGATTTTTCGCTGTGGCGGGCAACTCTAATCGCTCCACTTTTTTGCAGCAACTTTTACAGCTGAGTGAGGACATGACATGTGCTCCATCTCCCTCTCACTCACGGCTCTTTCTCTCTCTCTCTCCCTCTCACGCTCGTTTTCTGCTACTTTGTGCTGCTCTCTTTTGCTCCGCTTTTCAATTTATTTACAGGCACACACACAGCGGAAATTGCCAACTGTGGTGCGGGGTGGTGCTGTGGTTGCCGGCTTGGTTGGAGGGCTCTGCCAGGTCGGCGATGCCACTTGAACCCAACGAGCCATAACAAAAGGCACACGAAGTAATTAACTTGTATTTATTGTATGCACACATATCAAAGTGAAGGGGACAGGGCGCTGCCTCTCTCTCTCTCTTTCTCTCTCTGTCTCTTTTTCCTCTTCCAACTGTGCGTCTGTCTCTGGCATGGCTGGCTTTTCTAATTGATAAGCTGGCCCTGGCTCTAAGCTCAGCATGCTCATTCAATTACTTGGCCTAGACCCAAGGCTGCATTTGACCAGCTAACTGCAACCGATCTTGGCCAGCTCTGCTGCGCGCATTACGCGGCCCAGCTAGTACTTAATGTTTATTACATTTTCCATTTAAGCACGAGGAGAGACAACCCCAGAGCACCTCAGGGAAAAAATGGACGCAAACATAAAACTAACCAAGTACCCTTTTTTTTGCTGTTCACATTTACATTTCAAACAAAAACAAGAAAAACATTTTCCAAATTTTATTTAATATACAAAACATTAAATGAAAAATTCCTTAAACTGGATAATACGTAGGAGATGTTTTTAAGGCTAACTTCAGAAGTATCGCTGAATATCATATACAATATAAATAACTTTGTGGTAAGGCAAAAATAAACGTTATATATACATTAACATTTAAAATAAAATATATTAGTTTTTGCAATCAAATTCGACGGCAATTATTTTTTAGGAATTTTCGTTCGCATTATTTTATTTATATTCCCTAAATGCTGAATTAAATTAAATTTTTAATGTAAATATAAATGCCTTAATTAAATTTTGAAAAAAGTTTTCATCTATCATACATATAATTTTTTTTTTAAATCTCAAAACTAAATTTTTAATATCATTAATATTTAATTTTTTTTTTATATTTTTAAAAAATGTTTTTAAATATAGTAGTTTAATTTTTCAATAATCTATTAACTATGAACTTCAAAAAAAATTAAATTTTTAACACTTGTTATTCCAAAGAAATATTTGAAAATTTTAAACCTTAAAATTGATTATCATTTTTAATATCTATATCCGAGTTTCAATTTTAAGCGATGAAAAAAAAAATCTCGTAAATAATATTCAAACTTAATAGCTTTAAATTTATGTAAATATAAATAAGTAAGTTAATTCACAAATAAGTTAACAATAAAATAAGCCTCAATAAAATTAGCCTCACATTGAAATCAAATATAAAATTGATTCGCATTAATTATAGCTTGAGGTAATTAATTTTAATTACTTAGAAATAAGTTTAAAACTAATAAAGATGAATAGATTTGCCTATTCTTGAGCTTGTCTTTATAGAGATGACGAGTGGCAATCGTGACTGAATTAATTAATTACTTACGTAATCAATGCAAATATAACTGATACAGTAATAGCTGAATACACAAGGAGAGGTCTGTGAGTTGTGAAATCAATCTCACTCTCCTCATTTCAAGTCATATGCCTGGAGCGTATTTCAAGTTCGTTAGGGCTCCAGTTTGGTTCTCATCGCAGTTGTTATTATCTTTTGGCTTGATGCAACGGCGTGGCACGCAACTTCTCGCTGTGGGGCATCCACTTGTCGAAGAACCTGGCACTGAGCATGGGATTGCACTGAGGGGCAGAAGCTCAAGTGGCGTGTCATTTACCTGGCGACCGCCAGAGAGACTTTGAAACTGGCAAGGGCCTTCACGATGCAATTGCAAGTTGTGCAATTAAATAATATTGACATTAGTTGCGTGTTGCGGAGCAAATTGCTAACGAAAAAATGGCAAAAATCAATAAAGCCTCTGCTCGAATAAATGCCAATCATGCGATTTGCGTTTCAATTTGATGGCTTAATGTGCAGCTGGCTTAAGCGTGTGCAGATCAGACTAACTTAAAACAGCAAACCAAACCCAATTCAATTGGGCTCTGCTCCACTCGATTCTCCATCCGAGACACTCACCATTTCTCATTCACTTTATGTCCAATGCTCTCGTTCTCTTTCTCATTTCTTGTTTTGGTTCATTTGCAGGCTGAGTGCACAAGGAGACGGTTAAATTGACTTAACCAAACGTGTGGCGCCCCGAAAGGACACTAGACGTCGCATCTTGTCCATTGCTTCCTCTTCATATCCCACATTCAGACTGATTCCCACACACAGAGAGTGAGACAGAGTGGATTGGTGTGTGTGTTTAGATAACTTGGAAAATATAGCAAAGGCATTTCAAGTGGAATGGCAACAAATTGAAATTCGTGTCCGGCAGCAGACGTGAGGCAAGGCCAACAACAACAACAACAACAACAGTAGCTGCAACGACAACTGCAGTGGATAAACAACGGGAACATATCAGCTAGCCCAAAAACTGTGCAGCAAATCAGCTGGAATTCGTTTTTGGTGCCACATATCCGGGCATTGATTAATGTTACGCATACGCCGCGTGCGACAGTCGCCCTTCAACTGTGACCACTCCACAACTTCCACAGCCCATTAACAGCAACTGGCGCACGAATTGCAGCCATACAATTGCCATTGCAGCCTATATATAAACATAGAGGGAGAGATAGGAGCTTCCTCCAATAACTTTCATCATGGCATTCATTTGGCGACGTCGTTCCACAACGATTGTTAAGCTGGTAGCCCTGATGCTGGCCATTTGGTTCTGCATCGCATTCCTCATCTACACGGACGATACGCGTCGGCGGGCGAACGTGCAGGAGAGCAGCGGCTTCGGCGCCAGCGGCAACAATGGCTTCAATGCTGCCGGCGGGGCCGGAGATCCCATTGCACTGGCTCTGAAGAACGGGCCCGTATCCGACGAGGAGATGAATGCGGCCAACAATGCCTTCGATGGAAATCGCAATGATTTAGAGGATGTCGCCGATCGCGCCGCACCACAGGAGGCGGATGTGCCGCCCACGGCGAAGCACAAGCGTGTCAAGGTGATTCCACGGCAGCAGAACGTCGAGTCCTTGCACCGCAATGTGGCTGTCCATGCGGACGAGAAGACGCCCCATAAGCAGGAAGACGGTAAGCTAATCCGGCATATTAATTTATATTTAGTATCCCAGCCACATTTCGTATTACATAATTGAGCTATGCTCGGGATAATGACATCAGTTGTGGTATTATGCGGTATTCAGGGCCGGCCATGGCAATTATGTAATTAAAGTAATGCTTGGCAACCCATTAGGATTGATTAAATATGAAATTCAAATTCATTTCAAGTTGAAGCTATGACTTTGATAAATATTTTCACCTTGAGCAGTGGCAACTGCTGCTAGACTGATATACAAATGAATTCTTGACCTGATTGATTAACTGCTTGATAAGTGACATATAGCTTGTACATATATGCCAAACTCATTAATAATGGAAACTCGAAGCATAATGTTCCTTTTTTTTTTTTTGTTCATCTAGTTTTTTATATACGATTATATCGCTTCATGAATGAAGCTATAAACTAGATTAATTGTTACAGCAATTCGTCATCATTTTTTTTATTTAAATACATATTTAATGGAATTCCATTAATTTGCAATGTCAAGGGATCAACAATATTTTAAAATGGTTTTACAATTTGACAAACTTTTAATTTAATGAGAGGTAAAAACCCTGGAATTTACACGGATTTTGTATTTTAGATGTGAATGTTTGCAGAATAAACTCTTTTTGTGTACTCACGCGATTATGGATGGAGCTTTTATTTAACGCATTATTTTTTTTTCATGTAAAATAATGCTCGGTTTTGTGTGATTTACAGTACTAAATGTTTATGTGAATGTGTGATTTTTTTTTTCTCTTATAGAAAAAGTGAGTAAAGAAAAAGTAAGCAGGTTTTATATATATAGAAAACTATTACAACTCAGTCTGTGCCAAAATATATGATATAAATAATAATAAAAGGGAATTTTGTATAAAGCTGGCTGACTTAGTCTAGGCTGCATTGACCAGATACAGGAATTTGTGGAAGTGAAGTGCACTGCTCAGCTTCACTTGTCTTTCGAATCAACAATGAACTGACTTTTAAAATCAAATCGAGCACAACGAAATTAACGAAATTGATCGCGTAGCTAAACATAATGACAAATGCGAGTTCCATGACAAAAGCTCGTCTGCTTCTAATTATATTCAGCTTTTGAAAATATTCATTTATAATAGTAAAGAATGCACCGTGAGAATTCTTCTCAACGCGAGAATTGCTATAAATTCTTGAGCCATTCTGACATAATTTATAGCCCCTTCAGAGCACAATTTTGTGATATGCGCTCCCTATACCTTGCTCTATCTCTACCAAGTTTATGATTTTGATCCCAATAAATTTGCAGTTGCTGCTGCTGCTCTTGCTGTTGCTGTCACGTTTCTGCCGACATGGCATTCGACTTACAAATGTGCAACATTAATATTTATATTGAAATCAGTTCCAGATTAACCACATTTCTCGCTACATCCATCACAGCTAGTGGCAGCCGCAACCCGCACCGGCTTTAACTTGTTCTTGCTTCATAATTTACCTGATTCTTTACTTTTTTCTCCTCTTGCCCAGTTCGTATTCCTGTAATCAGTTTTTGCTAATCTCGACTCTGTCTGCGTTCCCATTCAGCCGGTTCGCACTTCATTTTCACGCAATCGCAGGCTCGCTCTCTCTTTATCTCTCTCTCTCTCCCTCTCTCTCTCTCTTGGTCGGTCTTTTTTCTACTCTGTGGCTCGTCTCTTTCTTGTTTGGAGTTTGGATTTTAGGTCAAGCAGTCCGAAATCGAACTTAGTCTATGGATAATTCCACATACGGCTTTGGCCGCTTGAGCACTGCTTCCGCCTCCTAGTGCCCCCCTTTGCCGTTGCGTGCCTTTAAGAAAATTTCTAACAAGTTTTACAACAATGTTAAAGATGCCAACGGCGACAACTGCAACGAGGCGGAGAAGCTGCACTTAACAACTTGCAATTGTTGCCAAACAGCATTTTCAATGGCATTCAGGCTATCGGGGTGCGTGGCGAGAGGTGAAATGAAATTGACTTTTCGAGTGGTAAATAGAGAGACCAAAGCCTCATGGCTCATGCCTCACGCCTCATGCTGTCAGGCGAGGCATTCGCATTAAGCATATTAAAGCAACTACAGCAACAACAACAACAACTTCAACTGCAATTACAACTACAGCAGCAGGAATAGCAACAGCAATAGCTGTGCCACTAATCAGGCACAAAACTCTCAATAGAGAGCCCTTAGCTTTTACTCAATGGACCGAATGACTGACTGGGGCTCGGCTGTCTTTGTGTGTTGGCCAAATCAATGAAGCAGTCAGCCGTGGCTCGACAGAGCTAGTGGCTAAGACGCCGCTTGCATGAGCTGCACGCATTTAAGATTGCATCTGTTTCCGACTTGGCTATAAGCTGCAGTTGGCTGCGTGTCTGTCTTAACTATCGTGACACGAAAGCGGCCAAGTAAACACGACGTGTGTGCGATACTACAGAAAACAAGTTTGCATGCACTTTCGAGTCAACACAGCTTTTTGATGGCAAATTAAGTGATTGATTGACTTGAACTCAAATAAGTGATATGCAATAAAAACATGGATATGCATAAAAATGTCTGCAATGATTTATTTGATTGGCACTAAGAATACACAAAACAATTATATAAAAAATTATATAGAAAAAAAAAAACAACAAATAATAATAATGAATTGATGGATCAGCTCAACGTTGCTGAAGCCGTAATCTATTTTCGGATAAATTTGCTGGGATTATTTAAATAAATCTTTTCAAGTCTGTATATAATAGATTGATTGATTGATAATCAGTACACAGTATACGAGCTAAAAGAACTCAATAAGGCATAGTGTACATAGATATAATAGATAAATACGACTAAAGAAGAGTAAAACAGTTTGATTTAGCCTTGGTAAACAGCTTATGATATTATTTTTAAGATAAATTATAGAGACTCAATATCACATATTTGTATAAACAATATACTAATTAGAAATGATAAATTTTATTTGAAAGAGAAGAAAATTATGCGTTAAATATAACAATTGAAAACTGCATGAAAGAAGAGGAAGACAATAAATATTCTCTATGACACTTGAACATTTTATGTATATCAATTGAATGAAAATGAAATCAAGAAGTATTCCCTAGGATCAATAAAAATTGAAAGCCCAATATTTGAAAGAAGAGAAGAATAGAACAAGTATTCCCTATGGTAATTGAAAATCTTCCCTAACTTATTCGAAAGAAAAGTAAAATACAAACACTTTCTACGGCAGTAAGAAATCTCACCTGGTGCCTGTATTCACCTGCATCGTGCAAGGCAGTTCGTGTCGTGCTCGCTTGTGTGTATGTATGCATGTCGCTCTGTCATCTCTGAGTTTCGGCTGGGGTTTGTTGCCTGGCGGATCTACACAATGCACGTATTTGCAATTTCGCATATCATGTTTGCATCTCTTCTTGCGCAGCCTCATCAGCAACAGAGGTGGCAAAGCTACAAGTTGTTGCAGTTGCAATTGTTGCTGTTGTTGTTGCTGCTGTTGTTGTTGTTGGTGTTGTCGTTGATGTTGCTTTGCTATTTGCTGATCCTGTCGTGCAGCAGTCGCCCCGTGGCGTCAAAATTGTGTGCAAGCCTACAACGTTTACCAACACTCGGCCACGCATATGAGACTGAGAGCTGAGGGCATCTTCCGCTTTTTGGTTTGCTGGTGTCTGTTAACCGACCACGGCCCATTGTCTGTTCTGTCTGTGCTTTGTGCCCTGTGTGTTCGTAGCTGGTAATTAGTGTTGTTGTACTTATTGCCTGGCCTTGGGGCGCTTACCACCAAAAGACGTGGCCAACACGACGTTTATCGCGCGCACGCATCAACCAGGCAGAGCCACAGGAGACTCCAGCCAGTCACCCAGTCAGTCAGTCAGTCAGTCACCCAGTGAGTCAGTCAGTCAGTCAGTCAGCCAGTTAGTCGAGACGCCGTCAAAGTGCCTGCTGGCCATGTCTTTAATACGCGCTCTATCTTGATCTTGGGCTGGTCCTCGTCTACGTTCGCCTTGCTACACTCCGCTCCGCTCCGCTCTGCTCTGCTCTGCTCTTCTCTGTTTAGTGTCTCTTATGTGGCTGGTGGCTGCTTGTACTTGTTATTTTTTTTACAATTTAGCAGCGATAATGATTTTGTACATACAATGCAAATGCCCCGCCCATCCGCTCGCAGAGAAACAAGCGTAACGCCTCTGGGAACAGCTGCTGCCACACTGAATGGATTGCGCGCGTCCAGCGTTGCCCCGTTTTTAATCAATGCTAATCCCCCCTTGCACTCTTCATAATAACATAACGCTGATTTGAGTGCGTGCGTGTGGCTGTGTGTGTATGTCTTCCTGTCTATTGTCCTTGTTTGCCATTCCCGGGCAAACCAACTCCCCAGCTCCCAGCTCCCAGCTCCCATCTCCCATCTCCCATCTGCTATATATTGCGCAAATAACGCTACTTTAGCATATTATGTTCCTTTTATGCTTTATGTCGGAGCACGCCGAGTCAGGCCGGAGCTGGTTTGTGTAGGCACCTCGCAGGCATTTGTCTGGGCCACACATTGGTCCCGCTCCACCTGCTCCACCTGCTCCACACAGTGACGCTCCCTCTTTTGTCTCCTGCAGCTCGCATAACGGACGTTTTATAGCTTCCTGTCACGCTCAGGCGTGTCCCTGGAGCGCTCCTTCTGCATCCCTTTCCCTGCCCAACTCTCTCGGCTCTCTCTTCTACTTCTGCTTATGTCCATAAACTGCCAATAGATATGAAAATTATATAGATGGCTAAGGTATACGCCTATACAGTGGCTCCTCACTAAATGTGACTCGTGGAAGGAAGATATAAATGAAAATTAATTTGCCAGCTGGATATGTGCTGAGCTTTAGAGCTTATGAGAAATCGACTCAAGAATTTGATTGTGATTAATTGAATGAATAACCTCATTTTTCAATTGTTTAATAACTAAATTAAAACTGTGGGGAAAGGATTTCACTCGAAATTCTGCAGAGGTGTCTTCAGTCATTCCTTTTACTAAAGACTTCTCAAATGTAACCCTCTCCTACCTTTAACGAAAAATTACTTTAATAGACATGCCATAAAAAGACTTTTTATAACTCTAGACTCTTCGTTGGCTTTGTGTTTTTTTACGACTTTTGTTCTCAGGTTTACTTTTCGTTTAGTTTGAGCTCTCACTGTACTTTCCGGTATGGTTTTCATATCCTTTTCGAAGAGTTTCTATATGTCGATATGCCATAATTGGATTGTGCTCAGGTGGCTACATTTGAATAGCAATGCGCTGCCGGAGCTCGAGCTTTAATATTCCATGCTGCGCTATAAATAAGTGAATCAATAAAACACATAAAAATAAAAATCCAAAGACCTGGGCCTCTATTTGCTGCCTCGGCCTACTGCCGCCTCCTGCTGCCTCCTGCTGCTTCTTGCCGCCGCCACCCCGTGCGCCTGCATAGAACTTCCTTTTGCGATTCGGTTTTATTGTTTTTTATTATGATGCGTGTGCGCGCGCACAGCATGCAAAAATATTCATTACAACAAACAGTCGAGTGTGTAGCTTAGTCCTTGCTCAGGTCCTGCGCTATTCCTGCCTTTCTGCCCACCCGCCCATCCGCAAGCGCCTCCTGCTTTTCCCGCAATGAAGTTGTAACTGCGACAAATCATAAAATTTATGTGCGAATCCCTCTCCTTTTTTCTTGCTCTATGCCCAGTTTCGTTTTTTTTCTTTAATGGCTTTTGTTGTGCGGCCAAAAATTTATCGCTGTCTGATTGGCCGCTCCGTTCCAACTGCCACAACATTATGTGGCTAACACGAAGCGGGCCTGGTCGGGCCTTGGGAATGGGAGTGTGGAACTTAGACTGGGCTTTGCGTTTATCGCTTTTTATTTTGCAGACGGCTTTTTATGTTTATTGAAATGATTGTGGTAATTGAAATGTTTTTCATTGTGCGACACACACTCGCACAACTCACATGGCTCACACGATGAGCGCCAATAAGTGTCACTTCTGGCTGACAAATCTCATAAAAAGCAGCAACTGGCAGCCGGAACAGAATCATATTTCCATGCAAATGCAAATAACAAGATAATATAATGCACACACAGTGAGCACGGCAGCTCCACACACACACGCGTGCACACACACACACACACACACACATACACAAACGCACACAGAGACAGAAAAGCTCTCGCCAAGCAGAAGAACTCATTGAGCTTGTGCAAGATGACACAGACAACACGTATACGCACCGTCGCACACTGGTACAAGAGCAAGCAGAAGTGTGATATATTTGATCAATTTAATCAGCAATTATCAGCAATTATCATCAATTTTCATTGAGCAATACCTGCATATTTTGGCTTATCTAATACAATCTGATAGTGTGATGTAAATAAGCAGAGATTATTTATTAAATTTATATAAAAAAAAGTAAAACATTATTTTCTAAAATGTTTGTTATATAAATATTCTTTTATTTTTTGCCGACGAAGAGATCATCATAGATCACTGTAGCTCACTCATTGGAGTGCAACCTTGGTCGCTGCTCTCACTTATATATAGATATAGTGCAGCTTACACATACATAAAGACGTTTGGTATTTATTTATGTGGGATTCTCAAAAGTTGCAGCATCCCTGGCAGATGCACCAGAGAGTAATT